GAAAACGTTCTGATGGTCATTTCATTGTGTTCAGCTTAACTAGCATAATTAAATTTCCTTCACATTGAATTCTCTCTGAAATCAAATTGAGAAACATTTTTTAGTTCCACTATACAGATAACTTGGTTTGGTTGACTTGGTGCTATACCCATCTGAAACAGCATATGGGAGATCAATATCCATGGCTTCTCTTTGCAGGCAGTAGAGAGAAATGACTTGCTGTGGATTCAGAGAATATTGCTCTCTGCTTGGATACTTCTTAACAGTTGATTATTGGTTTCACAGCTCTTGTGTCACTGTTGCAGTTACAATGATGTTAAAACATCATAAAGATGGGGAATATCTGAGGTTGTGGGTTACCCTCAGAAACTGCAAGGAACCAGATTTAGAGGTGTTGGAAGATGAAGCGTGTCTCCTTTCAATGATCATAGGCCATAAAATACAGCCCTGAAAAAAATCTCAGATATCTGCATTGTCCTCCAGCATCTTTGGTTCAAACCTCCTTGCCTGCTTGGTTTATAGGATGAGAGGTAATTGCCTTAAGTTGTGCCAGGGGAGGGTCAGGTTGGATGTTAGGAACAATTTCTTCTCCCAAGAGCGGTGCTGCAGTGGCACAGCTGCCCATGGAAATGGTGGGGTCACTGTTCCTGGGGGTGTTCCAGAACTGTGGGGTTGTGGCACTTGGGGACAAGGTCAGTGGGCATGGTGGGATGAGTTGGGGTTGGGGATCTTGGGGGTCTTTTCCAACCTTAATGGTTCTGTGATTCTAAAACCAGAGATCCCTGAGGACATGGCCAGGTTTTTGTTGGGGTTTTGTCTGTGGCAGAAGCAGGACTTGCACTGCACATTCCATGGGACACAAAATCCCCTGGCATTTCCCTGCCCTGCTTCCCGTGTCCCCAGGAAGGTGGAGCCCCAGATTTGAAGCCCCAGGAGGATCCAGCCCCTTGCTGCCTGCTCTCAGCCACAGCTCTTGGATAGAGGGGATGTACACATAAATCTCACTTTTCTGGCAGCTTTACTCAACAGTGGTAATGGCACTGGAGAAGCCTCTGCCATTTGCTAGCAGTTGCTATATATTCATTTTTAATGACTAGAGTTAAATTTCATAATACTTCAGTCTTTATAAACTGAAGTTTTTAAAAAAATGCTTCTCAACTGCAGTGCTTCCAAGTATTTGCTAGGATTTATTGCTATTCGTAATGCACAGGCTGGCTGGGCTCCTCTCTTCTGAGGGCAAAAATGGAAAATAAGAGTTATTGTTGCAGAATGTAGGAATATTGTTGCAGAGGAACTATCAGTAGAATCAGAGTAACAATACTCAGGAAAAAACATGAGCTTAGTCCAGAAGCTGCACTGCTCCCAAGGAGCACAAAACTCAGTCAGAAATCAAAGTGAAAAGTCCCTGCTTGTTTTCAAGCAGATGGGTTTGAGTGTTCTGCCCTCCTGCCATGGTCAGTCTGCATTTCTCTCCTTGTGTGTGTATGTCTGTGGTCCTTCACTCATGAGACTGTTTGCATTGGGAACTGTCAGTGCCTTCTGGCGATGGCTTTGGCCTTTGCAGTGCTCAGCACTGGTGCTGTGGGCTTGGGGCTCCTGGGCAAGGCTGTGGGCAGGAGCATTTCTGTTGGGCCATAGCAAAACTGGAAGAAGTCTACTGCTGAAAAAGTGTCGTTTTGCAGTTCCCTCTATCAAGCATGATTGGTTGTCGTAGTGGATTTTTTTCATTTATATTTGCCTAAATGATAAGTTATGTCCCAGTTTCTGGCCAATGGAGGTGTGGCAATAACCAGCACTTCTGTGCTTCTGTGCATCCTTCTGCTGTGTGTAGCCACGGAACAGCTATCAGAGTGTGAGCTGTGCCTGTGGGCTTTTGATGTGTGAGCCTCACAGCAGCGTTCTGCTCTTCTACTGTGCAAATGACCTCTGAAAGCCAAGGGGTTATTGTGAAAAATCATGCAGCAAAGAATTCCAAAGGGGCTATAAAAGTTCTTGCTGTTGGTTCATCATCATCACAAACGTTTCTGCCTGTGAGATCAAGTCCTGGGGTATTATTGTAAAAGGAGTACCAGCCATTGGAACAAGCTTGTTGCTTTTCTGGCTAGTAAGCAGAATGTTTGTCTTGTGTTACACATCAAGTGCAGAATGCAGCTCCAAAGTAAATCCCAGGACCTGTAAATAAAAGAAAAATAAAGAAGCTTAGGTACAAAATATGTAGCATATAGTGTTCAGTTCACAATTTAGGAGAGGAATTGGGCATCTCAGCAGAGAAACAGGACACCCCAGCAGTCTAGGAGCAGAAGAACAGAGGTGGGTGACATCGCTGCTGTGGCTGCTAACAAAGAGCTGTGGCTAACTGCTCTGCTCTCCTTATCTCTGGGATGTAGCAAAATATTCTGGCACATGCTTGATCTCAGGCTTGCAAACACCCTGATCAAAAGCCAGTGAGATATCCTGTATATTTAAAATTGAACATGAAGAAATTTGTCTTCAGGGAATCTTACTTAGCACTGAGACTTGTAGGACCTCATGCACATCCAGTTATATCCTGGTGCCTCCCCTGGCTACACACCCAGCATATTGCTCTGGGTGCTCAGCTTTTGGGTTTCTAAGCAGTGCTGTGCTATGTGAGTGCACCCACCTCACTGTTCTGAAGCAGCGTTTTTTTAACACTCCCTTAGTTTCACTGCAAGGCAGTACTTCACTGATTGAGAATGGAATGTCCCTCTGTGCAGTCCAATGCAGCTGTGGAATCTCACATCGCTGTGCCTCTGTTAATGCCTTTGGAATCAGGAGATTTTCCCCTAAGTAAAAATTAAATAAGGCAGTAATGAGTCTGTTTCAGAGCTCTTCTCATATTGTTTCTGTATAAAGTGTTCTTAGCCTCATGTGCACGGAAGGAATGAGTCTCCTTTTTTCGCAGCTACGGTTTTCAATTATTGTTAATTATCTATATTCTTCCATGGAATATATTCAGTATTAACTATAGTTAATAAATCAAATTGCTCTTAGAATCAAAATGGCTGCTTCCCTTCCTTCCATGATTGAAATGTTTCTCTTTCTGCAGGCAGGTTTCTTGGCTAATAACTTTATTTTATTGGAGTGCTCACTCCGTTTTTTTCCTCTGATAAATGCATGTCAAGGAAAAACATTTGCCTTCATGGTTCCTTTTCAAGAGCAAACTTAACAGTTCAAGGAAAGTATTTACGGAATGCATTGAAAAGCATATCCCTTTGCATTATTTATTATCAGATACCAATAACTCTAATATGCAGAGCATCTCTGGACATAAATTAGTGATGTTAGGAAACACTGGGATCCTCCTCGTGTCCCGGAACCGATTAGGGTCTGAAGCACAAGGGTGGGCACTAACCACTTCCCTGCACAAAGGGCTCCAGACAAAGGCTTAGTGAAATGAGTATGGAGGCATGCAGCCATCCCAGTTACAGGCTGCTTTTTCAGCTCAATAAAACATTATCTGTGTTATTTGGGAGCTCAGGAATACAGAGGAACAAAGAGGCAGGAGAAATAGAAGACATGGTGGGGATGGGTTGGGGATGGACTTGATGATCTTTTCCCACCTAAATGTGATTCTCTGGTTCTGTGGTCAGCTTAGCCTGTAAGCATCCAGTGCAGCCAGGCTCACTGCAATGCCCAGGCACATGGAGATGGGTGCAGTCCTTACTTCAGGTAATTGCATTTTTGGAGACATTTTTGGAGTCTGAACATTACTCTTCTCATTTCACACGTTGGAGCTGCAAATTTATTTAATATGGTTGCTTTAAAGTCTGTCCACTTCCCAAACCATTCTCCTCATTGTGTCCCAGCACATTACCTAATCATGTCAACATATGGATTTTTTTTTTTTTATCTTGCTGCTTGGCGTAGACAGCCTTATCAGTCTATTTTTAAATCTGGATGTGCCGTGGCAGTGGTATTGGGTTCAGCACTTGATGTTCTCCCTGTGCAAATAAATACGGATCAGCTATTAATACCGATTTTTCTGAGACCCATTAGCATCACTTGGCAGAGTGAGTGCCTGTCTGTCGGACAGGCAATGGTGTGAGTGCTCCGGCTGGCTGCAGCCTTTGTCTGGGGATGGGCGTCCCAAGACAGGCATCTGGGAATGGACACCCTGGAATGGGACCCCAGGATGGGCACCTGGGGAAGGGGAACAAAGGAATGAGCAAGCCAGGACGGATACATCAGGATGGGCACCTGGGAATGGGCATCCCAAAATGGGATGGGCAACTCAGGACAGGCACCCCAGGATGGGCACAGCTGAGGATCACCAGAAGGAGACTGTGGATAGGGAGAGACAGGGAACAAGTGCACAGGGATGTAGGCAAGGCTGGGGCTAAAGCCTTAAGAAGGTGGCGAAACAGAACAAGGTGTTACTAGCAAGGTGTGACTGCATGTGGTCAGGTATGTAGTGCTGGTTTCAACAATGCTTCCAAGCTTTGTGAAAAAAATGAAATAAATTGCTATTTAAGGCTCCACTGTTCAGCAGCAATGAAATAGGGTGCGTGATTGTACTGGCTGTGGTCCCACTGTGGCAGGAGAGGGCAGGTCCCCCAGGAGTCGCGTGGTTCCTCCTCCTGCACGGACCTCAGGTTCCACCTTTGGCGTAATGCCCGTGGTCATTTTTTGTAAGCAGGCATTGAAATGTCAAAGCCAAGAAAGAACTGACAGTCCCAAAGTGTGGACAAAATATTCATTCTGTGTGCACTGATATCAGCTTCCAGTTGTACTCTCTGCATGTGGGTGTGTTGTAGCAATTAACCTGGCGGTATGCATTATGGAATGGTGGCTATTCAGGTTCCTTAAGGAATAGCAGCTGGGAGTTGTTCCGTGCTGTAGCACATGGCTGATCCTTCCCTTTGTGTGGTGCGGGAGGGCTGCAAGGTGCGCTCGGCTCCCTGGGTGTGGGTCAGGGCTGCTCTGGTGGGCGCATGCTGACCTTCTCTTTCTCTCTGTCTCTCATCCTTTCTTTCCCCAAGCATGCAAACGTAAAGAGCAGGAACCGAACAAAGAAAGGAACAACTCCCAGAAGAAATCCCGGCTGGTTTTCACTGACCTCCAGCGCCGAACGCTTTTTGCCATCTTCAAGGAGAACAAGCGCCCGTCCAAAGAAATGCAGATCACCATCTCCCAGCAGCTGGGCCTGGAGCTCACCACCGTCAGTAACTTCTTCATGAACGCCCGGCGGCGCAGCCTGGAGAAGTGGCAGGATGACCTGAGCACTGGGGGCTCCTCCTCAGCCCCCAGCACCTGTACCAAAGCATGACCGCGCGAGCCGCCAAGCGGCGCGGGCGCGGTGGGGCCCTTCACTGGTGACTTGAAAGCACAATCCTCCTGGATCGTCCTGGCCTGGCTGCAAGGAGAGGACGCTGTACGGCTTTTAGTCAGTTGAGAAGGCGCAAGCGAAGAAGTAACCTCTTTTTCTGTAACACTACGCTCAGGACAGGCGAAGCAGGTCTGAAGGAAGAGCCGTTGGTGAGGCGAGTTCCGCGCTGACACCGAGATGCACAAGGCTGACACCGAGATGCCAAGGAGGCCGAGAACCTGTTTTCGAATCTCAGGCATGGTTTTGTTGAGTGTTCTAGGGGAACAGAAGATCAAATTTATGTTTTCCTTTCTTTCTTTCTTTCTTTCTTTTTTTTTTTTTTAAATTTATTTTTTATTTCTTTTGTTCAATCAGTGAGTATAGCTTGATCTTGGACCAGAAAAAATCAGTTCACTTGAGCTCAAAGTGTCAAGCACAAAGACAATAGCTATAGAAATAGGTATGATTCTGGACTCACTACAGCCGTTATTTTGAGAGGCATTCGAATTTACAAAGTTGATAGTGAAAAAGTACATGACTACACAAGTCTCAAGCACAGTTTGCAGTTTGTCACAAATTCTGTGTTTGTACATGACACAGATGCACACTCAGGAGGTCAATTTAACTGCTACAGTACATGCAAATACAAATTTTTGAAAGATCCAGGTTTTTTTAGGTCATTAAGAAGTCCTTTTCAGTTACCAGGAATCTATTTTCTCCTTTGTAGTCTCACCGTTACTGAAACATATTTAGCACATGACGTTTTTTTGTTCTTTATTTTTTTTTTTTTCCTTCAAAATCCTTATGGAAATTTTATGGTACTTTCAAGCAGGAAAAAACAACAAACCCACAAACAAGCCCTTCAGATGTCATTGACCATTTTTAGATGTGCCGTATACAACTTAAAAATGCCATCGAAACCCATCACACTTTAAGTTCTTTTTGTCCACCATTTCATCAAACCTGACGAGAATGCAGCACACCAAAGAGACAGGATTACTGCAAGCCAAAGATATTTGTAACTCGCCTTTTTCTTTTCGCCATCGTTAGCGTGGTCGTTGTTTTTGAGATCAGAAAGCCTCACAAACACCGAACAGTTTGTAAATCTCTCACGGTCATTTGCTGCACCAGAAAGCAAACGCTGACCAAAACATGTGCGCAAAGTCCCGAGCGGCGCGGCCACTCCGTGTGCGTCCTTACCAGTGAATGGCCCCTGTGAAAGCAAGCCAAACGCTGTAATGCTTCGTTAGAGACACTTGAGACTTTTTTTATGTACTACTTAATCGAAACCAAAGAAGCGTTTTCTGCACCTACTTCTTCTGCAACAAACTGTTCCATTTAATGAATAAAAGGAGAAAAAAAAAAAAAAAAAAAAAAAAAACCACCAAAAAAAAAAAAACCCCAAACCAACCAAGGAAGCACGTCAGGAAGCAAACAAGTGACACACTGTGTTTTGACAGACATGTGGGACATTTTAGGAAGCAGATTTCAAAGAAAGGGTTGACAAGAACAAAAACAAAGTAAAGCCGGTATGATTGCTGCTTCATTTGACAACTCAGTCATCTTAAAGTTGAAGATTGTCTTTAATTTGTGCCTATGCAGTTTTTTTTCAAAAGAACAAGGAACAGGGCAACCAAAACCTCAACAGCTACAATACCAAAGATGAGGATTCTCACAACTGTTATTTCAGTTCATTATCTCTTCTTGCACGACTAAGATGTGTATAGCACCATTGATCTGTGGAAAGGTAATCAATTCTGTTTCTTTGAGCAACAAAATGGGTGAGTTCATTTATGTTTTTCCTGTGTCTACCCCACGTGGAATCTCTCTGGGAGTTGCACGGACTCCAAGTGTAAGATGTTGGGATACTAAACTGGGATGTGTGAACAATGTTTTGGTTGGATATTGCTTGTTCTATCAGGTCTCTTGTATGTTTAGATCTTCTGTATGTGAAACCAGTTGAATAGCCTATACCCCCTTTCTCATACCCAGGGATAAAACTTGCAATGTATGTACCAAATTATTTACTTTTAAGTACTGAGCACTGTTACAGCCCAGCTCATTATAATCAGAATCTAATCTGATTTGTAATTGAGGTTTCAGCAGTTCACACGGCAATTTGGTAATTTGTCTAGACGTGTTCTGTTCCTTGGTCAAAGTCACAGTGATCCGAATCATGACATGAAGACCTAGATCCAAATTTGGGAGCAGAGCGATGCCCCACGCGTCATTCTGCTCCATCCTAACATTTAAATGAAACCTTCTTTTCAATTTCTGTGGAAAACTGCAACAATTTACATTAAAAATAAATTTAAAAGCCTTGTCTGCCCAGGACAGGAGGGTTTTATGAAAAGTAAATTCAGGATCTTCACAGTAACCAAGCTGACAACACGTCCCAGCTCTGGAAATCAAAACTTCTTCAAAACTGGATTTCCCAGTCTGATCAAACATGGTTACAAACTGATCCAAGGAACCTCCTAATCAGCCATGCTGTGAAGCTGAAACAAACAATTCAGGTCTGGGTGCTGTGCACCAATGCTGCTGGGTGCTGAGATGCTGTGGTTGTATTCCATGTTCCCCTTTGCTCACATCTAAGGGGCTCCATGCATACCAGCCTCTACATGCACATTCTGAGCATGGCATTGACCTCAAGGGAAATTTCTCATTCTGAAAGTGTTCTACTGCATTTCATAGCAGTGTTATGCAGTGCTGTTTTTGAGGTTACTTTTCTCATTCCATTCCATAATGCCTTTGTAACTACACAAAGAATGGACGCAACATTGGTAGAAACCCAGAATGCCATTTCCTTCCTTCCCTTACCTCACTGCAATCACAAGGCAGAAAAGTGTGTTTCCAACCAGAGAGGAGCATACATAGCAGTTGGTGTCCCTGCCACAAACCAAAAAACCTGCTGGTCACCTCCAGTGAGGGGCACGCACAGGCTGACAGTGCATCCCGTGCACTGCAGAGGCAAAGAGGAGCATACCTCTTGGTGTTTATGAGCAAAAACCTTTTTATATCTGTTCAGAGTTCATCCGACAGCTTTGATGAAGTGCAGATCAAATAGCACTTACAAAAGAATGTATCTTCAATGAAATAATTAATTTTACCCAAATTGTGGAAGTCCTTGTTATGCAATTCAATGGCTTAAATTCTTGCCTTGATCTTTCAAATGTTGATACTGGAAACAACATAGTTAAGCTGATAGAGTGGCATTGAGGATGACTTCATTGTCCGTTCAAAAGTATTTGGTTAGCAGAGCATGTGAGCCTTCTCTGTGCTGGTGATTGCAAGTATAACAGTGCCCATGTTTCCCTCAGACATGTCAAAATTCACTTTCATCCGAAAATACTGCTGCATTTTTTATCCCTGCTTCTTTCATGGCCCTATGTTACGTCTTCCATTTCACCCTCAACTACTGCAGGCTTTTATGTAGCAGCTGACTCAGAATAGGAGTATGATAGCATATATTGTGGGTAGATATATTTGTATGTACACACATGAACAAAATATAGAGTATATATTTACTATGTATATGTATACACTGCTATGTATACCGTAATATATACTATATTCTGTTCATACTAAAAAGCCTCAAATAGATATGTTATGTTTATATACCATATATTTATAAATCTGTATAGCTGTGTAATGTAACTTGTTCCTTTTATGTATTCTAATATGAGAGACTTCTATCTATGGACAGTATCCCAGCATCCTCCTTGCCGTGCGCTTGGAGTTACTATCATGGGCACATCCAAGATGAATTCAACTTTCAAGAAACCTTGGATATCGTTAAATCACCTGTGAAGGAACAAAGAATGTGCTTGATTACTTCGGTTGAATAGCTTTATTCTGGATCTCTCTTAACTAAAGCTAAATCCAAAGACCTGTGAAGAACTCGACCAGCAAACTACTCTCAATCCTGCATAAAGGAATAAGGTCCGCCTCTTCCAAAACAAGACATGGTATTGACATGGTATTGGAAAGGGTGTGCTAGCTTTGGAAAACAAACCAAACCAAACCAAACCAAACCAAACAAAACAATGCTTTTCTTGCTTGTCATGATACCTACAGATTTTTAAGACATGGGGAAAGTTTATACTTGGCCTCCTTTAAATTTATTATGGGGATTTTTTTTTTTTTTTTCTTTAGATGGAAAGCTTAAGATGGCTTTATTTTTTTTCCTGACAGTTGTAGCTTTTAACCTGATGTATTATCTATCAATGATGTAATTTAATTAATTAAGTCTTAGAGTAGGTAGAAATATCTGTTCAGTCCAAATCCTACCTATTTTTATTTTATCTTTAAAGTTCAGTGAGAGTTTTGCCTGCAAACAGGATCAGGGTCAGGTGTTAGTTGTTTTGTAAGTATTTAATTCAGCCATTTGTGAATTTGGGTTGATTTTCCCTATTTATTCATTTTACTGTTGTAGTGCATCAGAGATGCCAGCCTATGTTAGTAGATACACTTAAAAGTTGGGTTAACTTCCTTAAGCAGCCAAATTCTGTTACAGGCAGGAGGAAAATTACGAGTTACATGAAACACGAGCCTAATTTTAGATTCTTCTTTTAATTGATTTTAATAGTTAAATATAAAAATTTAAATTATTTAAGTTAATCTCTTCTCATCTGACTAGAAAGTGTGATGTACCTTTATTATGGCACACAAAGCCTTCATAGTATAATTTATTTATTTAACTTATTCGTCATCATCCCAGGATGCCCTTGTAGAGGTTGTTTTTCTTTTTCTTTTTTTTTTTTTTTAATTACTTTTAAAGCACTACAGATAATTTCCTGTCCAAAAACAGAGCAAATTTTGAGGACAAGCAATGAATATTCAACCTAAAACCGTGCATTCAGAAACAACAGGAAAAAGAGACACTGAGATACTTTGCCTGAACTTTGTGGCTTCTTAAAACTTAAGCTGGGGGAAAAATAATCCATGCCAAGCAAAAAGAGAGAAACCCTTAACCTAGCTGCTTCCAAGAATGAACTTCTGTGTGTGTAAAAAAGAGAAAAAAGAAAAAAAAAGGAAAAAAAGAAAAAAAAGAAAAAACCTTTCTATTTCTAGTGAGAACCAAAGAGGCTACCTCACTGACTTTTTCCATTTGTAATTTTAATCGTGTTGATGATACCAAAGATACCAAAGATTTCTTTCTCTGTGCGGTCTGCATTTTGCTTGTGCTCTTTTATAGTTTTAACTTTTTCTCTCCTACTTACAGTAATGTACAGCTGCAACTTAGATACCCCAAAGAAATACTTCTGGTGGAAGCTGCTAATTCTGAAGACAGCATTTTCTTTGTTTTCCTTATGCCCTTCTGACAGGCAAAAAAGTCCAAGACCATCACCCCCTGCACCCCACCAGAGCCCAGTGGCTGGAGCACTTGTGTTGAGCCAGGGGTGGGTCTGGGTGGCATTTCCAGCCCAGCCCTTGGTGATAGGCTGCAGGCTGCTGCGTGGATAAAGGGGTGGGATTCCTCTACTGAGTTCCAGACAGAGAAAATAAGCATCAAGTCCCGGGCTCCAACAAAGCCCTGGGCACAGGGAAGAAAAGGTCTTGTCCATTCTTCAACAGTCTGTAGATGCCAGCAGCAGGCAAGGGGCACAATGAGGGAAAGGGTTCATGCAGCTGTGGTGAGGCAGAGCCCATCACCCTGTGTCACCCCATGTCACCCTGTGTCACTTTGTGTCACCCCATGTATCCCCATGTCACCCCATGTCACACCATGTCGGGATCTATCACGGAGATGGAGGGTGAATCTCATGAGCCCTCTTTTCTTGGCACATTTCTTATATATTCATACTCCCTCTTCAGAGCTGACTGAGTTAATCAAGCTTGTAAAGAAATGCTTAAATTCTTTTAATATCAGTAAGATTAAGTATTTGCTGAAGTCTTTTGCTGGATCAGTTTGTGTAAGGAGATGCAGTATCACCCCACTTAATGCCTTGTGTCTGCTCTTCTAGCGAGCATTGCATATGTCCTTTACTTAACCTGGAATACATTTTTGCCATGCTTAAACCATTGTTTTTTACATAATGCAGCATGGCTCTTTGCCAATCTGAACCAATATTTCAAAGAAACTAACACAGAAATGCAGTTGGCGCTGTGTTTTCCCATTTTCAACAGGACAAATTGATTTCTTCACCTTTCAAGAAGCTATCGATATGTCTCCGTGTCACCCCATGGTACCCTGTGTCACCCCATGTCACCCCATGTCACCCCGTGTCATCCTGTGTCACTCTGCCTGGCTACTGGGGGAATGATGCCTGCCAGGTATGGACCACTCTGATTCCACTCCAGGGCAGCTGCACCCCAGGGCACTGAGCT